TCTTTCTTTATTTAAATTTGATCAGAAAGGGACAGAGTAAGAGAGAGGAAAAGTGAAAGAGAGAGAAAGCAAGTTGCCAGGTCCGGGACTTGAACCTCAATCGGCCATAGTAGCTCAGCACCTCCCAGCCCCAAGCAGAGGTTTATTTAGCTTATAGTTTTGGAGGTCCAAAGTCAAGGAAAAATATCCCAATCTCCTTCCAAAGGCCCTACATCTTAATTCCATAGTTGGATTAGATTTCCACTGTCTAAATTCTATCCGACCTAACTTCAACACATGAATTTTGGGGTACACCCTCAGACCATGGCACCTGGAGTAAACAGTCTTGCTCTTCCCCTTTGCTTTGTTCTCTGTATCTGCCACTAACCCAGTTCCAGACTCTCGGCCCGCTGTCCGCCTGTGTTCTCAACACTCTCATCCACGTCAGGTCTGGCAGCTGCGCCTTCCAGAGATGCCCACAGCTCTCCCACAGCTCCCCGGGTGTCCCAGTCCCACAGCTCCCCGGGTGTCCCAGTCCCACAGCTCCCCGGGTGTCCCAGTCTGGACTGCCCTCTGCCTACCGCCCAGAGTTGTCCTGGGCTCCCTTCACCCCTTTCTGTGCGGAGCCCTTTTCCCGATCCCGTGCTGTCTCTCGCTCCTCTCCCTTTGGTGGCCACCTCCTTTGCTCAGGGGTGAGCCGGGGCTGCGCCTTCAATGCCGGTGCTCAGGCCCCTTCCTCCAAGTCTCGGTTAATGGCCTGGAACGGGGCCCAGAGAGTCTTATTCTTAAATGCCACACGCTGGTGTGGGCGAGACTGCGACCGCTGTTCACGTAACTCCCCGACGAGCGGGCCGCGGGGGTGCTGTTTGAAAACGCCTTTAGGGCCAGCCCAGGACACAGCTCAGGCTTTTCCAAGGTGACTTGTTTTGTTTTTATTCGGAATGTTTTCCACACGCACGCACGCGCACGTGCACACGCATGCCTGTTCCTGTTCCTTGAGTGTAGAGACCGGTCAGCCCGGGAATATTAGTGCATAAGCACAGTGCCAGGGAGCCAGATCCCACGGGGTTCAAATCCCAGCCCTGGCAGCTTGGGAGACATGATAGGCGTGTGTCCATACATGCCCCAAATTGTGATGGGGTGGCAAAACGGAGGGGAAGGGATTGTGGCATGACCACGACCCACTGGAAGGTGCTGTCTCCATCTCTGTCTCTGTCTCTCTGTCTCTGGCAAGTGCACGTGCCTTCTCGCAATAAAAAATTACCAAATTATAAAAGAGAGAGAGAGAGAGACTGTATTCTGTCCCTCCTGTTGACTGACGGGCTGGGTACAGGAGTCTAAGTTCAGTAGTTTGAATGCCGCGCTGCACTGCCGTGGAGAGCCGCAAGGCCAGCGTATCCGTGTGCCCTGACGTCTCCCTTCGAGAGCGCGGAGAGCCGTCTCTGCTCCGACTTGCAGGGTTTCGTGATAATGTGCATTTCCGTGTGAGAGCGTTTTCATCACGCCTGGGCACTTATGCGCACCCCGATGTGGACTCCAAGCCCTTCCTTTCAGGAATTTTGTCATCAGTGACTCCCCTCTGTTCTCTCTGGAACTTCTACTATCTGGATGTTGGATTTCTAGAACTAGCTCTCGCTTCTCTTTTAAAAACATTTTTGTCAGAGGGCGCGTGTGCTCACTGGAGAGAGAGAGAGAGAAAGAGAGAGAGAAAGCGAGAAACCGCCCCCCGTGGGGGAGGGTCATGCTGCAATCCCTCCTCCAGCCTCCCTCCTTTCAGGATTTGGGCACGCACATGTGCCAGGTCTGGGACTCAAACCACACCGTTGGGGTCCAGTCGCCTTAACCACCAGGCCACCCACTGGCCCGGGTTCTCTCTGTCTTACCCACTCCCTCCTACTTTTTAGCTCTTTGCCTTTCTTACAGGGAAATGCTTAAAACTTTACTCTCAAACATTTCTGTTAAATTTCTACGGCTAGTTTTTGTTTGTTTGTTTGTTTGTTTGTTTGTTTTTGAGAGGTTTTTGCTATAGGGCGCGTGCCGGAAAAACAGAGAGAGACAGAAAGTGAGAAATCACCCCCCAGGGTGGGGGGATGGCCACACCACAATCCCTTCTCCTCCATTCTCCTCTCGGGATCTTGGGCATGCATGTACATGTGCCTGGCATGAGTTTAAGCCACCGGGTCCGGGACTCGAACTGTGGTTGACTACATGGGAGTCCAGCGACATAGCCATTATGCCAACTGCTGGTCCCTAAATTTCTACTGTTAGGTTTTAAATTTCCAAAAGTTCATTTGTTTTTGTTTTTATTCTGAATGTTTTCCATGCACACACACAAACACATGTGCACACACATGTGCACACACACCCACGCACACATGCGCACACGCACGCAAGCATGCACACACATGCACATGCACGCACACATACACACACACAAGCATGCACACACATGCACATGCACGCACACATATACACACACACACAAATATATATGCCTGCTCCCGTTTCTTGAGTGTAGTGACTTACCAACCCGGGAATATTAGTATAAATTTTTGGAAAGTTTTGTTCACCCCGCAGTCTTGTTTTTTTCCAGGTTAAGAGTAAGGTTGCTGGGACCAGCGAGTGGCATGCTGGTTGAGGTGCTGGACTTCCACATGGCCAACTGCGGTTCAGGTCCCATACCCGACAGCTTGCCTTCTCATTTTCTCTCTATATATGGTGAGTGTATGTGCCCTATAGTAAATCTAAATAAATAAATACATTTAAAAAAAATAAACAATTCTTTTTTTTGAGAGATTTTTGCTATAGGGCATGTGTGCTTGCCAGAGAGACAGAGAGACAGAAAGTGAGAAATCTCCCTCCCAGGGGGATGGCCCCAACAGAATCCCTTCTCCTCCAATCTCCTCTTGGAATTTTGGGAGTGCATGCACATGCGCCCAGTGTGAGTTTTAAGCTGCTGGGTCCAAGGCTCAAACCACAGTTAACTACGTGGGAGTCCAGTGACGTCGCCATTACTCCAGCTGCTGGTCCCAACAAACAATTCTTTTTTTAGTTTTTTTTTTCTGGAGAGGTTTTCGCTATAGGGCGCCTGCGCTCGCCAGACAGACAGAGAAAGACATAGAGACAGAAAGCGAGAAATCACCCCCCAGGGGGGATGGTCACGCCGCAATCCCTTCTCCTCCATTCTCCTCTCGGGATCTTGGGCACGCACACACACGCGCCTGGCGTGAGTTTTAAGTCACCGGGTCCGGGACACGAACCGCGGTCGACTACGTGGGAGTCCAGCAACATAGCCATTACGCTAACTGCTGGTTCCCTCAACAAACAATTCTTAAAGAAAAAAAAAAAAGAGTGGGAAGGCTAAGAAGCTGCTTGGGAGCGGGCGTAGGGCTGTGGCTTTCTGACCCGTTTGTGAGAGGGCGCTCTGGCTGGGCTGTTTCCCCGGGAGGCAGCCTGGTGTCGGCCTCTCTGGGCCTCTTCCCCTGGGGCTGGACCAGTTTCCTGAGAAGCATTCCCGGCTGCTCCTGGGAGGGTCCCTGCTGGCCGCCAGGCTGCCGGAGCCAGAGAGTGGGCTCCAGGGCATTGGTACTTGGGGTGGAAATGGCCACTCCCTGTCCCATCCTCCCCTCTCCTTCCCCAGCAGTATCCCCAGTGGGGCCTGATGATGCCAGGTCAAACAGCAGCTCCAGCTCGTGTCAGCCCCCTGCCCCCTGCTCCCAATGACAGCCGCCTGTCACCAGGGTCCCCACACAGTGCCCTGAAGGCTCACCGGTGTGGCTGTCTCCCCATGACCATGATCACCCAGGCCCAGCTGCCTTCATCTCCCCCGGGCTGATCCAGCAACCTGTCCCTGCTCCCCTCATCCCTTCCGCACCCAGGACCTGGTGGCTCTCGCGTCACTTCCTACTGAGTTCCCTCCCGGACTCTCCCCTGCCCCAGGACATAGCTGGCATCACTCCTGCAAGTCAGGCTTCTCCCTCCAACCGGCTTCCTCCTGCAGTCCCACCCTGCCCCACCCCTCCACCACGCCCTCCTCCTCGTCTGTCTCCCTGTCTCTGATGTCGCCAGGGCTCTCCTCCTGGGAGTCTGCAGACCTGGGCCCCGCTCTGAGACCACCTGCCCTTCCCGCACCCTGAGGGGAAGCTCCGCTCTGAGCACTGAGCCTGAGCCGGGCACCCCAGAGATGGCGAGCTAACTTGGCCACCGAGGTCATTGCCACTGGCCACTCCGGAGAGCTTTCTCTGGGAGCTGACTGCTGGGGAGGGCCTTTTGACCCCTGGCTCTGACCCCATGGAGCCGCTGGGTCAGTGAGCTGGGGTCGTGTCAGCATGAGCACCCCTGCCCCCAGTACCACCGTGGCACAGGCTGGTGAGGGCAGAGGCGGTGGGCACCCTAGATGTCCAGGAAGCTGAGCGTGACCCCCAGGCCACCCCGAAAGAGCTCAGTGCATTGGCCTCTCCCAGGGAGCAGACTGGGAATGTCCATTTCTAGAAGGGCCTCTCGGGCACGGCCGGGGAGCACGAGCCTTTGCTGCAGCGGGCTCTCTGTGGGTACCAGTGGGGCCGCCAGCGTGGGGCAGGGTCCGGGTGCGTGGTCCTTGGCCACCCCTTGGCGGAGGGCATTGTGATGACCACTGTATGGGGCGGACATGCAGCCACAGTGTGAAGGGACTGAACCCAGGACTCTCCAGCTCCTGCAGCACTAGGCTGTCTCCCTGGGACCAGGACAAACAGCGAGAGCCCTTCTGGTTCCGTGGTAACCTGGCTGTGTGACACTGGGAGGCTCCTCAGCCTCTCTGGGCCTGCCTGGGGAGGGTTCGGGAAGGCAGGCCCCTCCTCACAGGCAGCAGACGTGGCCCAACTGCTCTGGAGCGTAGGGGCGAGTAAAGCAGCAAGGTCTTCTCAGGCCCATGGCTCCCGAGCCCCAGACCTGGGTGGGGGCACTACACTCCTGGCGGCTGCTGGGATCATCCCTGGGGTCCCAGGCACGCTCTCAGCCCGCCCCTCTGGCTCGTTGTCCAGGAACTGGTGCCCCTACCAGAAGTCCCGGTTGGTCACCTTCGTCGCGGCCTGCAAGACGGAGAGATTCGTAGTCCACTCGCAGCAGCCCTGCCCACAGGGGGCCGTGCACTGCCAGCACACCAGAGTCATGTGAGTGGGGAGGGCGGGCCCTGCATGCCCCCTGGGAGCCCCAGATTGCTGAGCGGCCTCCTCCCGCAGGTACCGCGTGGCCGTCAAGCCGGTGTACCAGGTTCGGCAGAAGGTGTTGGCCTCCGTGGCCTGGAGGTGCTGCCCAGGCTTCAAGGGCCCCGACTGCCAGCACCCCGGTAGGGCTCCCAACAGCCCCTTCCCTGAGCTCTGGCCCCAGAGGTCATGCAGCTCCTCTGACCTGGGGTCAATGTCTGATGCTTCTTCTGCAGATCCCATGGCAACCTCTGAACCAGCAGACCCAGGTGACGGCCTGCAGGAGCCCAGGGACAGGCTGACTGACTTTAAGCTCGGTGCGTTGCTCTCCCGAAGGTGCAGGAGGGGCAGTGGGCAGGGCCCACACACCTGCCCTCACTCCCTGGCAGGGCAGTGCCAGTTCAGGAATACCTCGCCCCAGAATCGGAGGACCCCTCCGTGCCACCTCCCCGGAGGGGCCAGGTTCACAGGTGCTGGTGGAGTGCACGCCCTTGTCCTCGACCCCGTGGCATCTGGCACCTTTCTTGCCCCCTGGACCACATAAGTACCCATGCCTGGAGGACTCCTTCCCCTGCCATACTCCTCACCAGTATCAGGGAGTCATGCCCACCTTGGTCGTAGAGATGGCACAGGAGCCTAGCAAGAGGCACCGCTGTGGGGCCTTTTGAGCCAGGCCAGGCTGGGATGGTGAACGCCTGTCTGTTGATGAGGGCTGCTGAGAGGGATGCTGCCAGGCCCTGCACGTCTCTGAGGCCAAGCACGAAGTGTGCCACAGTTGATTAGTCATGCCTGCTGTGGGTGTGGGAGGTGGGCATGGAGACACTGCCATGCATCAGCCTTTCTGGGGTTGAAGTCTCCTAGCACCTGCTCAGAGAAGGCCAGCATGCCTCCCCTGCTCTCGGCCCCTCCCGTGCCCCTCATACCTGCCCAGCTCCAGTGAGCGAGCCTCGACTCTCACATGTGCCGTGTATTCAGCTCACCCAGCCCAGGAGATCCGTGAGGTCATGGCGCAGCAGGAGCAGTACGAGCACCTGCTAGGAGACCTGCAGAACGACGTCCACCAGGCGGTAGACAGCCTCCCGGGTCTGGGGACCATGCCGGCCAGCAACCACACAGCTCCCTCGCCGGGGGCCAACCACATGGAGCTGCGTGAGTGCCAGGCTCTGGGGGCTCAGGAAGGGCCTGGGCACTCTGGAAGGCGGGGAGGGCGTCCGCTCCTGCAGGGCTGGGTTAAAATGTGTGTCTGTTGCAGAGTTTCCCGGCAGATCTTTGGAGCAGGTGCTGCTGCCCCACCTGGACGCCTTCCTGCAGGGGCGCTTCAGCCCCATCTGGAGGAGCCTCAACCAGAGCCTGCACAGCCTCTCCCAGGCAGTCCAGAACCTGTCCCTTGAGGTGGAGGCCAACCGCCAGGACATCGAGAGGGTCCGGGAGAGTGGTGTGTCCAGGGACGCCTTCCAGGAGCTAGGCACCAAGTTCGAGGCCAAGTTCCAGGAGAACGCCCAGAGAGTGGGCCAGCTGCGACAGGACATGGAGGAGCGCCTGCACCAGTCCCTCTCCGCCGTCCGGGCTGACATGGACGCCAAGGTGAAGCATCTGCACAGGGCCCAGGAGCCCCTGGGGGCCGGGGCCAGGCCTGAGCCAGAGAGTCTGCAGGCCAGGCTGAGCCAAATGCAGCGGAACCTCTCCGCGCTCTGGGAGGCCGCCACCCGCTGGCAGGAGGAGGTGCAGCAGACGCTGAAAGACGTGAACGCCAGCCTGGCCCAGCACTCGGAGGAGATCAAGGAGCTGTACTCCGAGTCGGACGACACCTTCGATCAGATCAGGAAGGTGGAGCGGCAGGTGGAGGAGCTGCAGGTGAACCACACGGAGCTGCGCGAGCTGCGCGTGATCCTCATGGAGAAGTCCCTGATCATGGAGGAGAACAAGGAGGACATGGAGCAGCAGCTCCTGGAGCTCAACCTCACCCTTCAGCACCTGCAGGGCGGCCACGCCGACCTCATCAAATACGCCAAGGACTGCAACTGCCCGAAGCTCTACTTAGACCTGGACACCCTCCAGGAGGGCCAGAGGAACACCACGCGCACCCTGGAGGAGACACAAGTGAGCCTGGGTGAGCAGCGCCGTCTGGACGGCTCCTCGCTGCAGGCCTTGCACGGCGTAGTGGATCGCCTGTCACGGGCCCTGGACGCGCACAGGGCGGAGACTCGGCAGGGGCAGGTGGCGGCGGCGCGGCTGCGGACCCAGCTGCAGGCTGCTGGAGGACGCGATGCGGCACGAGGCCGTGCTGGCCGCCCTCTTTGGGGAGGAGATGCTGGAGGAACTGTCCCAGAAGGAGGCCGACCCACTGCCGCAGAGCTACGAGCAGATCCGCACCGCCCTGCGGGAAGCCGCAGAAGGGCTGCGGGAGCAGGCGCTCGGCTGGGACGCGCTGGCCGCGCGGGTGGCGGCCCTGGAGCAGGCCGCGGGTGGCGGCACCCAGCCCGCAGGGCGGCGCCTGGAGCCCGGCCAGGACGTGGGGTCGGAGGAGGTGGACGCCAAGGCCCTCGCCGGGCTGGCGCGGGAAGTCCAGCGCCTGAGCTCCGACGTCCAGCTGGCCCGGCAGTGCTGCGAGGCCTCCGGGGCCGCCTCCCTCAACAGCTCCCTCGGCGGCCTCCAGGGCGCGCTCTCGGCCACGGAGCGCACCGTGGAGCAGCACCAGCAGCTCTTCCACAGCCTCTTCCGGAACTTCCAGGGGCTCATAGCGGCCAATGTGAGCCTCGACCTGGGGAAGCTGCAGGCCATGCTGAGCAGGAAGGAGAAAAAGAAAGGCCTGGAGGCCGCTCGGAGGAGGGACAAGAAGCAGGCGGAATCTGTGGCAGAAGCAGGTGGCACAGGGCTGGTGGCGGGTGCCCTGGGCACGGAGCTGGGGGAGGCAGGTGAGTTCTCCACAGGGCGGGCCAGCCTAGGGCAGTGCTGTCTGCCGCAGCCCTTCTGCCTCAGAGCAGCCCTGGTCACCTCTACTCAGTGGTGACCCATTTTGTCTGCAGGGCTAGGGCCTGGTTAGATGGGCCAGGCGGTGCAGGCAGGTGGAAGAGAGCGCAGGAGCCTGCTGTCAGCGCCAGGACCAGGCACAGTAGGCTTGCTGCAGGGCAGAGGGCCCATCCCCACTCTGCATGTCTTCACCGGCCACTGCGTCCAGGGCAGGATGAGCTGGGGGACCCGTGCACTGGGATAGAGCCCTCAGGGTGAGTGCAGGAAGCCCAGCCTCACAAGGAGCATGCTCTCTGCCAACAGCCACTGCTGGCTGCTCCGCCAGGCCCTGCTGTGCCCTTCCTGGCCTCACACAACGATCGCCACAGCTCGGCAGTGCGCCGGTGACCACCACCCTGTTCTTTATTTTTAGGGTTTTTGTTTTGTTTTCTTTTGCCATAGGGCACTTGTACTCGCTGGACAGAGACAGAGAGTGGCAGAGAGAGTTAGGAGCCTCCCCCTCCCCGCCCCAGGGGGACAGCCATGCTGCAATCCCTTCTCAGCCATTCTCCTCTCAGATGTTGGGCACGCACATGCACCCACCATGATGCTAGCCTCTGGGTCTGCGACTCGAACCACACAGTCAGCCGTGTGGGATCCAGCACCTTAACATCACGCCACCTGCCGTCCCCCATCAGCACCTCACCTGAAACAGGCTGCACTGTGGGGTGAGCTGTTCCCACAGCTGGTCCAGTGGTCTCTGGGCTGCTGACTCTCCCCTTGGACAATGCCCTGGTAGGGGTCCCTGGGCGCCCCTCCTGGGAGCTGGCTCTGAGGCCAAACAGCAAGGATCACTTTCCCTCCCCTCCCCGAGTGGCCCTGAAGGAGATCTCTAGGCTCCATGCCCCGTGACTCAGTCTGCCAGAGGGGCCTTGGGGCTGGGGCTTCGGCCCCGCACACAGGGTGAGCACACGGCCACCATCATGGGGCCTGCACCCTGGGGTGGGCCTGCACTGTGGCCCAGGACAGTGTGGAGCAGGAAGGACGCGGGCTCTGCCTCGTTTGTCTCCGTGTCTTACTGCGAAGCAGAACCGCCACTGTCGTTGAAGGCTACGCGCCACGGTTACCGGCTTCCTGGTACAAGGCCGTCCACACTGCAGGGCCCCGCAGTGCCTCCCAGCTCCCTGCGCTCCCAGAGCCCAAGCCGGGCTTTTGTCCTCTTGTGACCCTGCAGGTCTCAATATGCCGGTGGCTTTGAGTTTGCCTGATGGCTTAGGAATTGGTTTACCACTAAGATATCTTATTTATAACATGTTTTCCTTTTTGTATTCCTTATTTTTCAAGAAGGCTGCAGAGTTTGAATTTTTCACTAATTGAGAGAATTAGCCCTGCAGGGAAGCATGCTGTTTGCACAACCCGTCCACCCTCTGAGGGGCTCCCTGGGCCCGTGGGCTGGGTCAGGGCTCCCTCTAAGGCCACCCTTCCAGGCTCAGGCGGGCGGGCGGGCGGGAGCTGGAGGGGAGGCCAAGCACCGGCAGAGGGCGCGAAGCGCCGGCAGAGGGCGTTGCAGGCTTGCCTGCCTTCGGCTGGGCAAGAGCGGCACCTGCTGGTAGCTCAGGGAACTGCAGAGCCGACCTCCCTTTGCTTAAGCACTCCTACAGGACAGCACAGCCTTGGGAACCCCCAATTCTCT